CACCTTGGACATATTCTTAGCATGCATTGGCTCCACAAAAACTTTAGGCTTAACAATAGGCACATTCAAGTTCATGGGTTTAACAAAAACAGTTTGACCTTTTTTTCTAGATGAAGCCTCATTAACACCTAATCCAGTTTTATCACTTACATGCTTACCAACAATAATCATCTTATCAAGCTTAATCTGCCCAGAAGTAAAAGTAATTAATTTCTCCTGAGATTTTTTCAATTCAAGTTCAAGAAAATTAAATTTGGTAATAAAAGATTCTCTAGCAGAATTAGCTTAACTTACCTCGCTCTCAAGGAATTTTACCTTGTCATGAAAATTTTGAATTTCAGATTTATTCTTCTCAAGCAATTTCCGTTTTTGCTCATCATCCTTCTTCAAGGATTCATTCTCCATCTTCAAGGTATCTCTTTCCTTTTTCAAGGCATCATTCATGCTTTCTATTTCTCTTAACTTCTTAGATTGCTCCTTGACATCCTTGCTCAATAACTCAAGTTGGGTAAGTTTTCCTACACACAAAGAAAAATTATTAGCAGTATCATTATCAACATGAGCAATAAAAGTAATAGAAGCATCTTTATTGTTTTCTTTATCTTTCAATTTAGAAGGATCTCCTTTATTACAATTTATATTCTTTCTAGTTTTAAGGAACCTTCTAGAATTTTTAGACATGATGTTGAAAACAATTTTTGAAAACAAACAACAAAACTAAATTTTCCAACAAGGATCAACTCAGTGTATAGAGATCTGCTCTGATACCAAAATTGTGAGTCGTACGCAGCGGATATTAATTAGAAAGTTTTAGTTTGTTCTAGAAAACAAATCTGTGTCCTTAACAACTTTGCTTATATTATGTTTTAACAATTAAACAGTTAATCACATGCAAATAAAAGCAAAGTATAAAGTTAGAGATGACACCAAGATTTTAGCGATGAAACCCCAGTTGATAAAATACGTCAATTGTTATGGAAAAAACCTCGTGAACTGTGCAGTCCAAAGTAAATCAAGAAGATCAAAAGCCTTTCCGACGTATTTGGTTACTGGTTCCCATTTCTGCTACCGGTTCCCACTTGGCAGAGAATTATCCTTCGAGTATTAGTCTCTGGAACCGGTTCCCACTTGGCAGAGAATTATCCTTCGAGTATTAATCTCTGGAACCGGTTCCCACCAGACAGACTCCAGCCTGAACTTGGATTGTCTGTATTTTGGTAACTCTGAAAATATACCATGTATATTATTGTGTCCTAAGTGGGAATAAGTGGGAAACGATGTCTAAATCGTCATTCTTGCCTTTTCAACGATCAACAATACTTTCCTCTTCCGTCAACCTCTGAATTCTGCAGTCGATGTCAAGTTTGATATGGTAACTAAAATTACAACTCGACTAGGACTTGTTTTATTACCAAAATATGCCAATTTATAAAAATATTTCTCACAAGAACAACTTGACAGGAGAACTTCTGCCAGGGCTTGCGAAGCTCACTCAATTGGAGGATATTGATATATCGAGGAATCAAGTGCATGGGGAATTGCCTCCGGGGATCGGTAATCTGAAGAAACTAAAAGTTTTTCAGCGGTCTCTGAACAACTTCTCAGGAAAAATACCTCCAGGATTCGGAGATTTGCGTCATCTTGATGCCTTTCACATCTTCAAGAACAGTTTTTCAGGAGAATTCCCAGAAAATTTTGGCCGGTTTTCGCCGTTGACTAGTTTTGACATATCAGAGAATCAGTTTTCTGGTGCCTTTCCGAGATACTTGTGTGAGAGTGGGAAGTTGCAGTTCTTGCTTGCTGTGGAAAATAAATTTTATGGGGAGCTACCGGATTCTTATGCCGCTTGTAAGTCCTTAGAGAGGTTGAGGATCAGTCAAAACCGCCTGTCCGGGAAAATCCCAGATACCTTTTGGGCACTGCATTATGCAAAAATGGTTGATCTTAGCGACAATGATTTTACCGGAACGATTTCTCCAGATATTGGGGTTTCCACCAGCCTGAATCAGTTGGTATTGCCGAACAACCGGTTTTCGGGTAATCTTCCACCAGAAATTGGAAAGCTGACACAGTTAGAAAAGCTCCAGTTGAGTAGTAATGAGTTCTCCGGCAATATACCTTCTGAAATCGGCCTTCTACAGCAGTTGTCTTCTTTGTATTTGTATGATAACTCATTTGCAGGATCAATACCAGCAGAATTGGGTGAATGTGCTAGGCTGTTGGACATAAATCTTGCTCGGAATTCTTTAAGTGGTAATATCCCTCATACCCTTTCGCATATGAGATATCTGAATTCTCTGAATCTTTCGGGAAATAAACTTACTGGTCCAGTACCAGAAAGTTTACAGAAATTGAAGCTAAGTTCCATTGATTTGTCTAACAACCAACTATCGGGACGAGTTCCATCTGATCTTCTTACTATGGGAGGAGACCGAGCATTTTCAGGAAACAAGGGGCTATGTATTGATAAAAGTTCCACAACCCAGGTGAATTTGGGGATGGCTGTTTGTGAAGGGGAGCATGGTCACAAAGGATTTATAGAAAGTAAACTAGTTATGTTCTGCCTCATACTGTCTGCCTTGGTTGTCATTCTAGGTGGCTTATTGCTTGTGAGTTACAGGAACTTCAAACTCAATGAAGGCGTGGAAAATGATCTGGACGGGGAGATGGAAAAAGATCCGAAATGGAAGCTTGAGTCTTTTCACCCGGTGGAGTTCAATGCAGATGAAATATGTAACTTGGATGAGGAGAAATTGATTGGAAGCGGAGGTACAGGTAAAGTATATCGGTTGGATTTGAAGAAAGGCCGTGGAACAGTGGCTGTGAAGCAAATATGGAAGGGAAATGAGGTGAAGGTTTTGACAGCAGAAATGGAGATTTTGGGGAAGATCAGGCACAGAAATGTACTGAAGCTTTATGCCTGTCTAAAGTAAGAAGCGTCAAGTTTCTTGGTGTTAGAGTACATGCCTAATGGTAACCTTTTCGACGCACTTCAGCAAGAAGTCGAGGGAGGGCAACCAGAATTGGATTGGTACCAGCGGTACAGAATTGCTCTCGGAGCTGCAAAAGGACTGGCTTATTTACATCATGATTGTTTCCCACCAATTCTCCACAGAGATATCAAATCAACAAACATTTTACTTGATGAGGATAATGAACCAAAAATTGCTGATTTTGGGGTTGCAAAGATCACAGGAGGGTCCCCTGGACCCCTAGGATTTCTGAATCAAGCTGTTTTGCTGGCACTCATGGTTACATTGCTCCCGGTGAGTTTTGCTTCTTCTTTTTCCTTTTCTTAAAGAAAATATACTCATTTCCACTTTCAAGTGTTCTGTGTGAAATATTATTGCTAGTTGCTTATGATGGTGAGAATTCGGTTTTTTTTTTTTTTTGTGACAGTGGTTGGTTGGGACAACACCTTTTATGACAATTTTAATTTTAATTTTTTTTCTGGATGGACATGCTCATTTCTTTCTTTCTGAATTTACTTTCTTTTTTTTTTTTGAAAATCTGTCTAGTATATTATTTGAAAATTTGAAATTTACAGTTTGATGGATTAAGGTTCAAATCTTAACCAATTGATTATTCAGCGAATGACTTATTGAACTGCAATTGTTTCCAGTCATTTTTTATTGTCTTCCGCAGAGCTGGCCTATACTCTAAACATCACCGAAAGGAGTGATGTCTATAGTTTTGGTGTGGTGCTGCTAGAACTAGTTACTGGTAGGAGACCAGTAGAGGACGGTTATGGAGAGGGAAAGGACATAGTTTACCGGGTTTCAGCTCATCTGAATAACCGAGAAGATGTTCTCAAAGTTCTTGACCCTAAAGTGGTGTCTGATCTTGTCCAAGATGACATGATAGAAGTGTTGAAAGTTGCTATGCTTTGCACCTCCACCAAGCTGCCAAATTTGCGCCCTAGCATGAAAGACGTCGTGAAGATGCTTGTTGATGCTGCACCTTCCACTGTCACGTCTCAAGACAACTCCAACAAGAATTAAAAGGTTTTGCTCTAGTTCTTTCTCACTTTAAGCAGCTTATCTTTTCTTCTTGAAAAATTTTGTGCAAATTTTAAGTCCGGTTGTGCATGCCAGCCAAGTATCGCAAAATTTATGTACTCAATTTTAGTTTTTATAATTAAAAGCTTTAGAGTACCATCGATGGATTGGTGTTGTATTCCACCTTAATTGAAGTTATTATTGTATATAGTATATACTGCAATCTTTGACGGAACTTATTGGCATTACACATCTTTTAATATAAACCGTTTTACGTTTTTTTTTTTTTTTTTTTTTTTTCCCTAAATAAACCGTATTACTTCTTGATCAAGGAAATTTTAACTCAATCTTTGGTATATTATAGAATGTTGTTGTTATACATTTCGCAGTATTGGTTGAGAATGTTGTTACTAGTTAGACATTTTTGGACAAAGGTCTCATACTATGAGCCTCTGTGTCAAGCTTGATTATACTTCAGTGAGTTTAAGATAGCACAGAAAAAGTTTTTCTTGAAATGATAAAATTTCAACTACAGGAAGTGTCAACTTGGAAATAAAAAAAGATTGCTTTGTTTCCTGTGTGTGTGTGTGTGTGTAAACATATATTACACATATGTGGATGTTGTTTGGGACAAGTTGAGCCTTGCAGATACAGGTTTTGTGATTTTGGATCCTATTTCTGTCGAAGCTTAATCATCCGTGCAAACGGCAGAACACCAGCTTGGTATGTTTTGCTCTGAATCGGGTGATGGGGAACAGTGTGTGAAAGCCATAAAAGCTATGTTTTTCTCTTGAACTAGGCGTATGTTCAGCAATCCTCTTTTAACCTCGGTACATAATTATTTGTTGCAATTATTTGCACAAAATGGTTGCGTACGACTCGAATATGCATTCTCAGCTTTTACCATTTTAGCAACTAACAAGTAAATGTACTGCAAATAATGTTGTTTTCCATCGGAGACAAAACATTTAGAAGGTAGAACCTGAATGTTTTGAAGGACTATTACATTTCAAATAGTGCTTTCACATTGTGATAAGGTCCAGTGACATTAGGAACTCCTCTCCACGTTAGCTGTGCTAATTGCTGATTAGCTCTTTCCGTGGTATGCGCAAAGTCAAACCACACATGTTCATTAGGATTCCTGCACAAGTGATACTTCTTCACTCCTCTTTTTCCTCCACAGCTATTGACTCCCCTAAAAGGCCCGCTGCCACAACATGCTATCTTCCCTTCCTTGAAACCTTTAAACCAAAACCAGAAAGAGTTATACTTTAACACACATATATATATATAAGGTTGCTGCATTGTGACTTGGAGGTTATGGGTTCGAATCACAGAAATAGCCTCTGCGTGCGGGGGTAAGACCATATACATCTAACCCTTTCCAGACCCTGCATTAGCAGGAGCCTTATGCACTAGGCCTCACCAGTTTATGTAACTAAGGACATAGTTCTATGGAAAATATCAAATGATGAGAAGATGGCCATAACGTTCCATATTTTGAAGGGTAGTTCACTCTTTGGCTGAGCGAAGTGTAGTAATCAAATATTGAATACTTGAATCCATGTAGCTCACTCTCTAACTTCTGGAGGGCTTTAGACAGAGCTATATTGTGTAGTTTTGCCATTGCAGAGTTATTTTGAACACACTCACTGCTATTTTCGCGTTTCAAGGTCCCCGGTATGCAACCCAAAGGTCCTGCATTTTGAAATCCAAATTTTCTTCCTCCTTTATTGTATATTTCCTGTACATAGAATGAGAAAATCTTATATTGAACATCCAAAACACTTTATTTGCAGTAGTATGAAAAAAAACCCAAAAAAAGAGAAAGAAAAAAGAATCATATATATATATATATATATATATATATATATATATATATATATTGTTGGCTGTAGTGTAACGACCCGAAACCGTGGGTTCGAATCGCTAACAGGGTCCTTACCCAAACTCGAGGTCAACTAAGGATACTACCGACCTTTCCTATGTCAATGCATATTATATATGTTATTCCAGGGTTTATAAATAATAATAATAATAATAATAATAATAATTAAATGTGATCATAACTACAAAGTATGACAAAACAGTCCACTAACCCATCAAAACCTGTAGAGGAGCGTCGTCCGCCACTTCCTTCCCGTATCCTGAAAAATGTTAAATAATGGGGTGACCTAAACGCTCAGTAGGAGGTGCCTAAGATACACCTCTTATGATCCCGTGAATCCACGTATCGAATAGAAATCAAGAGAATGGGATCATACTATACCGGAGATATAATCCATAACCACAACGTCAAATATAACCACAATTGTCATTCAAGTCACAATTGTACCATGTATGCCTATGTAGTGCAATGTCATGCCCATGTTGCTCCCCATTTTCCAAAATATTACCGTTTCAACTTCCAAACTGTTAGTGCAATCCGACCTAAGGCACCTCCAAGGCATCACGAAGGGTGGATTGGCTAACTATCCACGATCACAAGACACCTCCAAGGCGTCGCATCCGACCTAGTTAGCTCAACCATACTCCCCTCTAGACTACACTAACATCACGGACCACTAGGTGCCTCCTAGGCATCCGGTTTTCACAAACACTTTTCAAAAATAATTTTCTCAAAACGATTTCATTTGTTTCAAAAACACTTTTCCCTTTCTCTTTCTTTCCCAATGGATGCATGAATACTTCATGCTTCTAAACACAATTCAACTATTGAATTTCACATATGCTCTCCATAATAAATTTCAAAATGCGTAATTCATGCTTTCATTCAACATTGATTTAACATAATAAACATATATGCTTACACACAAAACATCAATTAACACAAAATCACATTTCTTATATACATCATTTAAGCATTCATTCTCCTCAAATAACAATTAGCACATAACCGCATAGTACATATATAACAATTAAGTCGTCTTTACAAGAATCCACAAAAATTAGGCATGCTTTACAATGATTAACAAAAGGTAATTCACTAAAATCCAAGAAAATATGAATTAGAAACCCCTACCACAATTTTGTAGAAAAATCCTCAAAATGGGTCCTAAATTCAAAATCCCTAGAGTGCACCAAAATCACTTTTGCTCCGATCAAATCGTAAGTCTTGACAGGCTCTTCGTTTTGCCGCAAACGGCTCTCAAAAATACCAAAAAATGAAGGAGAAATCAAGGATTGAATTTTTATTTTGAAAAGAAAAAGAAAAAGGATCAAGAAGGGGGAGAGATAGAGAGCTTACAGGAATGGGATAAAATGTGAGGCCAACATGGCCTTTTGGCCACAATTTGTATAAGTGGTGGGTCCCACCACTTTTAATTAAAAAAAAAAAATTTCTTTTTATTTTTTCACCACAATTATATATATATATATATATATATATATATATATTCATACACATAACAATTCTCCACCACATATATATACATATGTAAATAAATTACAAATATTACATGTAGTTTCAACCAACTAAATAATTTCTAAGTGAAGAGAGGAGAAGAATGAAGAAACAATATTTTTCTGTATTGTATTGAATTCTTTGTTGTGTTGATATATCTTAACAACAAATCTCTTACACTATATATATTATTCTCCCAAAGACCTTTGAACTTTCCAAGACAATTCTCAACCACACACATGATACATGCACTCACTTGATACATGTACACAGTTGATACATGTACCTGCTTGATACATGTACAATAACAATACATGAATAAACCAAAATGCACAATGAACATGGCATTAATTTATTTTTAACACCCCCCCCCCCCCCCCTTAATGCCATATTGTGACACCCAACAATTCTCTAAAGTATTTAAACTTATTTTTGGGAAGTGCTTTGGTAAAAATGTCCGCAACTTGGTCTTCAGTCTTACAATACTTGAGTTGAATCTCTTCATTTTCCACGGCTTCTCTAATGAAGTGATGTTTGATTGCAATGTGTCTTGTGCGACTATGGAAAATAAGATTCTTTGTCATAACAATTGCGGATTTATTGTCACATAAAATTGGAGTAGCTTCTTTTTGCTTTTCACCAACATCTTCAAAAATTCTCCTTAGCCATATTGCTTGTGACGCTACCAATGATGCTGAAATATACGTAGCCTCGGTAGAAGATTGTGCCACCGTTTCTTGCTTTTTAGATGCCTATGAAAATACACCCGAACCAAGAGAAAATGCATAACCGGAAGTACTTCTCATATCATTAACACATCCGGCCCAATCACTATCACAAAAACCAAACAACTTTGCATCTGTTCGGCTCGTGAGAAAGCACTAGTTCCGCTTTCCGGATTATGTGGAAATGTGGAATAGAATAGCGTGGTGTGCGGGCGTGCCAGGAACTATAGTAGTTCCAAAGTAGAAATCCGAACGGTTATCCAGTTGGAAAGTTGTAAGGATTAGGCGATTGTACGAAGGTCTAGAATGACCATCTTCGAAGGGTCTTTTTTGCCTTTGAAAAAGGACGTCAAACTATTCTATGGCTAATGGAAATGAAGACAGTATTGAAGGTACAAAGCTCAAACTTAAAGTAATTAAAAGTGCAAGACTGGAAATTAAGATAACCGGAGTGCAGGACTTGGCTGAAAGTAGCAAAAGGAGTACAGGACTGACAATTCATCGCATGGAATGAAAGTTATATGGGATAGCAAAGTGCTGGACTCAACATAAAATAATATGTATTCATTGCTGGAATGGAAATACATGTACTAGCAGAGTGCTAGGTTTAGACATAGTGTAAACTCATTATTGAAATGAGAGATACATGAAAGCAAAGATGCTTGTGTCGATGTGTTGTTTGGGCTGGGCAGGCAGGCCTTGCAAACTAGCCTTGAGTGCTCTATTTATAGAGATTCCATGCATGCAGCAGCTTGGTGTGGCAACTTCAGCAGCTTCCACGTGGAATGGCTTCAGACTGCCATATGTCCCATGATTCCTAGGCAGTTGTAACTTCTTTCTTCCATCTCCTTCTTCCGCTGCTGCAGATTTCAGCCACGTTATCTTTAGTCCTCAATGAACTCACGTCATGGGTAGTTTCAAAGTAAATTTCCACATGTCCTCTTTGTCAATCGACAGGTGTCCCACGATCTTGTTCTTTTTCCCCATGTTGTCCACTTCTTTCCTTAATTTTAGACATGATTTTGTAGGCTTTAGCCTTATCATCCGTAATCATTGATAATTTCCCTCGGTTAGTGGTAGTTCCCTTATGAAGTCCCACCACTTTCAACCGACGTATTCTTGTTTAGTCAAGTGTCCCCACAATCCTTGTAATTCCATATATATATGTGTGTGTGTGTGTGTGTGTGTGTGTGTGTGTCTAATTCTGTAAACCCATGTATCCTTTATTTGCTGTTGATTTCTTCTTCTTCTCAGACACGAATTACTTACTTCAAATAGTGGAAGTTACCTTTCATGGTTCCACCACTTTCAACTGATCATGTTCCACGATTTCTTGTAATTCTTTCCTTCTTTAAAGTCCTTCTTCTCCTCTAATTCCATATATACATGCATGTTTATAGGAATTATTCTAAGATCCACGTTTCTCTTTAAGCCTTAATAACCTCCTTCTGTTGGATTTTCTATTTTCATCTTGGTTTTCATGGCATTGTGGCCCCTGGACTTCAGATATTTTCTCATCGTGGGCTGCATATACAAATATGTATATATATATATATACGCATATATATATATACGCATAAATATATACCATCCCACGTTCCTTAGACCACATCTCCTTGATTTTCTGCAACTTCCCTCAACCAAACCTTCCTTTCTGGGTTAGAAATTCATGACGCCATGGACTCCATAATTTCTGCGAATGTTTCATCATGGGATTATATCTAACCCACTTCTTTTCCTTCCGTAGACCACGATTTCCTGGATTTTAGGCTGAACCCTCCATATGAACTTCATGGCGTCCTGGTTGTGTTGCACTTCCCTAATTCTAGCAACCTCTCCTCAACCCTACCTCATTAGACTTCAAGGCATCATGGACTCACGATAATTACTCCATCGTGGGTTACATATATATATATATATATATATATATATATATATATATATATATATATATATATATATATATATACTTATAAAAATAAATTGAATCCCCACGGCCTGCTGAATTTTAGCAACAAAGGTTAACCTGGCTTGGGCAGTTGCTGATGTCTCCTAAAAATAAGGAGAAAATATTGCCTCCACGTCCCCTTTGCGTGACTTAATCAACTTTAATTTAAATGGAAAATACCCATTTAATTGGTATCCTATAAGAATAGGATCTTCCAATAAATTTATCTTTAACAGAATTAATCCACCGTGGCAAGTTTAATGAAGCTCGCCATGTGTTGATAAATTATTGGTTGGTTAAATCTTTGACTTTAACCTTCTCATGAGGCAAGCTCAAGGTAATAACTCCATGCCATCTCCTTTTAAGACATTATATCCCAAACTTGGTAAGTCCTAATGGGACTCCCCACTTTCCTTTAAATCAATAATTCCACGTGGTGAAGCTTTTCTCGACCAATTACTCTTCTAATGAAACTATGTAGTTTCAATGTTCCAAAAGAATATATTAACCAGAATTATAATCCAGTGTGGCGAGTTCCATTAGACCTCACCATACTTCTCTTTTCTAGTGGTAAACCATGTCAATAATTACATGTCACACCTTCCTTTATTAGATAATTAGTGTGAAAACCCCAAATGGTAAGCTCGTTAAAACTCGCCATTTGTCATCTTTCCATTAGACAAAAAAATAATGGAGTAAACAACATCAACATTTTTCTCATACAAGATGCCAAAATCAAGTGTACCTTGTATATATCTCAACACCCTCTTTCAGCCCCAACATGAATTTGGCTTGGATTGTGCATAAACTGAGATAATAAGCTTGTAGCATACATGATGTCGGGTCTTGAAAATATCAAATATAATAGACTTCCAACCAAGCTTCTATAGAGAGATGCATCCGCTTCGTTATTTCTATCTTCTTTCATCAATTTTTCATTCACAACCAAGGGAGTGCAAACGGATTTACAATTCAACATTTTGAATTTTTCAAGAAGAGTTTTTGCATACTTCTTTTGACATATAAAAACTCTTCCTTCTTTTTGATAAATTTAAATGCCTAAGAAGTAATGCAAAAAATCCAAATCACTCATTTCATATTTTTTCATCACTACCGGTAAATACCAAATCATCAACATAAAGAGAACCAATAAGAATCCCAGTTTTATCTTGTGTGTTGTAGTATAAGGTTGGCTCACTTTTGCTCCTTTGAAAGCCTTTTTTGATGAAGTAAGAATCAATCTCACTATACCATGCCCGGGGTGCTTGTTTTAGGCAATACAAAGCCTTCTTTAATTTGTAAACTTTCTCTTCTTCTCCTTTTGCAACAAAGCCTTGAGGTTCTTCTACATAGACATCCTCTTTCAAAACACCATTCAAGAAGGCTGATTTTACATCAAGTTGATACAAGGACCAACCATTTTGAGCCGCCAAGGCAATGAGTGCTCTAATTGTGTCAAGACGAGCCACTGGTGAAAAAGTTTCTTGAAAATCAATTCCAGGCTATTGTGAATACCCTTTTGTTACAGGTCTTGCTTTGTTCTTTTGAATGGAGCCATCCGGATTATATTTTGTTTTAAAAATCCATTTCACACCAATCACATCTTTGTCTTCCGGCTTCTCTACTAACTCCCAAGTCTTGTTCTTCTCAATTACATAAATTTCATCTTCCATAGCTTTCTTACATGTCTCTTGTTTAATTGCTTCTTCAAAGTTCTTCGGTTCAACAACACAAAAATTGCAACTTGCATACACGTCACTAAGACTTTTCATTCTTCTTGGAGTTAAACTTGGAGATAAGGAATTTGAGTTTGATGGCGAAGTTGGGATTAATTGTAAGCTAGATACGGGAGACATTTCTTGTGGAACTGATAAGCACCGAATATTGCATATTCAAGCGCCCTTTCTTGCTTGAGTTAAGTCCATTAATGAAGTATAATGTACAGTTTTACTTTACTTGTGTACTTTTGTCGTGTTTCAGGTCGGTTTCCCCGATTATGATTAAAGAAGCGGTTTTGACATCATTCTTGTTGAAGTAAGTGCATCGTTGTTGAGGACCGTCTTTTGGGCCAGGCCTTTTGAGTCCTTGTATGCATGAAGTTCTTGGCTTAGTGTTCAAAGTGGAGACCGTGTCAACGCTCCGGCTCGAAGAGGCTTACAAGAAGCCTTGATGAAGTTGCAGCCACAAGGTCCAGCGGGCTCCCGCTGCGCCACCGCGGCCGCCCGCCAACTCCTCAACTCTCTGCCTAGTTTTGCGGGGCCTCGCCACAGGCTCGCGGGCCCCTGCGGGCACCCGCAGAGCCACCGCGGGCGCACACCAACCATGCCAATAGCCATCTTCGAAGTTGAAAGCCCGCGGGCGCCCGCCAGGACACCGTGGGCGCCTGCCGATCTATATAGAGCAGCCCATCTGCTCCTGCTTTTGTGCTGAACTTGTTCCCTCTGCAATTTTTGTGTGGTTCTACTTCTTTGGAGTGGTTAGAGCTCGTGATGGAGTGTGAGAAGAGGGGTTATTGGCTAGATAAGAGCCTTGATGCATTATTATTGGATATCTCACATTCTACATTAAGCTTTTTAGAGAAAGAAAGAGGGTAGAGAGGTTTTAGGTGTTCTTGGAGCTCAAGGTGCAACAATGGAGAGTTCTTCTTCTTCATCCTCTTCATTCTCTGCAGTAATGGGTAACTAAACCTCCATCTAGGGAGGTGATGAAGCCTCCCCTTGTAATCATGTACTAGATTAGGCTCTATTTTGGGGATAATAATGTATAATTTTTGGTCTTTTCATAATCTAGAGCATATTACTTCTTGTAATGAATTCTAATGTTTATAAATGATTGATGTAAGTTAATTATCTTATCTTAGATGGTTCTTATATTAATCATAATGCTTGCATTTTCATGGTGACAATGGAAATAAGATTATGAATGGTTCTCATGGCATGTTGATAGAGAAACTTAATATTCTATTGCTTAGGTATTTCCTTTGATGGTTTATACTTGATTCCTAACTTCATGTGTTTTATCATTTGATTAAAGACTTGATGATCTTTTGCTTAAGATAGTATGTTTGATGCTGCACCCTAGTTTAGGTAGTTCAAATGTATAAACTTTTGATGGATCATTCTTGTTTTGATTTAATGAACTTCTAGATGATTATAAGGTAACCATGTGTTGCTGTATAATTCTTGACCATCATATATATATTGTCTATCCCCAATGTAGTCTTGATCTAACATGTGTTCAGGGTTTAGCGCGAATTCACTTCCCTAGTCCCCTTTGTAATTGTCTTTGCCTCTCTACTTCTTAGCATTACTGTTTTATGCATTTTTCAATTCATAATTTTAGTGACAACTCTTACAAACCTCTATACCCCATCATCATTCTAAAAATGATTCTAGATACCTTAGTCGCCATAAACTAGCAGTCCCAGTGGTTCGACTTACCCGACCAATAGCCCTATTTTACAATGATTTGTGCTATTGCAAAAGGGTTGATTTATAATTGTAATCGATCTGTTGACCAATTTTTGGTGCCATTGCCGGGGACTGTAAACGGTTTTGCAACCGAGGTTTTAGGATTACCTTTGGATTGATTGTCAATATTGTGTTTTGTGAATATTTTCCTGTGTTGTTTTGATCATTGTGACATTTTAAGTGTTTGTGAGATTCTAGATATTTAAGGCTTGCTGAGGAAAGCTAGCAAATTTGTAAGTCTAGACGACTTCAGGTAAGTTTTCGAAACTCTAGTTTCAAAGTTGTGAATATCTTGCATGTGTTTAGTTTAGATATAGTTAAGTTGTGAAGCCCTTGTCAAGGCTATTTATTTTTCTTTTCAATTGCAAGCATCAGTCCTTATCGTGGCCATTTACATTTCTGTATTGATAATTGAGGAGAAAGGGAACATCGTATGTGGAGTTGATGGTGATGAATTGTTGTCTTGATTGTGCTATGTGTTGTTGATGTTTGGCCGTAGGTCACTTTCCTTACTAACTCTTGACTCACCAGTTGACATAAATTCACTTGAAAGAACTCTTAGAAGAAACCTTAGGGAATCTACTAGCATAAGAGAACTTGAAATTGAATTTAACACAATGGCTGAAAATGTTGGAGATGTCAGAAATGAGGGAATCCATAATAATAGAGCTGAAATTCCAAACGTGGTTCCTATGACTCTTCAGGACCATTTCATCCCTACCACTTATGTTTATCCCTCTTGCATAGTGATGCCAAATATTGAGGCCGCTCAATATGAAATCAAGTCTAGCACCATCCAAATGCTTCCATCTTTTCATGACTTTGAAAATGAGGACCCTTATAAGCACCTTGATGAATTCCTTGAAATATGCTCTACCATCAAGCTGAGGGGCTTCCCTGACAATGCTCTCCATTTGCATCTCTTCCCATTCTCCTTAAAAGATAGGGCAAAATATTGGTTGAACTCCCTTGCTGCAAATTCCATCACTACATAGGCTCAATTGCAACAAGAATTCTTAAAAAAATATTATCCAGTGAGTAAGACCAATCTAATGAGGTGTTTTATTCTTAGCTTTTCACAAAGCGATGGGGAACAACTCCATGAGACTTGGGAAAGACTACAAGACCTCCTTAGGAAATGTCCGCACCACCTAATTCCAAAATGGCAATTGTTGCAAGCTTTCTATGCTAGTTTGACTGACACCCATAGATTCATGGTTGACTCATCATGTGGAGGGATGTCATGTCTAAAAGTACGGATGAGGCTTAGACCTTACTAGAGAATCTGAGTGAGAATTCATTGCAACATAATTCTCGTAGGGCCCAGCCTCAATCAATGCCAAGAACACCAACCCTTGTCAACCGAAGACAATGAGGGAAGAATCATCTCAAGTAGATGTCATAGCTCATAAATTCTATTAATTGATGGCACCACATCTATCTCCTTCCTTATCTCCTTTCTTGTCTCAAAATTCGGCTAGTACGGTGTGTGCATCATGCACTAGTCCTTTCCATCTCTCGGAAGATTGTCCCATACCGGAACAATTTCCTAATCCCAATCAAGAGCAAGCAAATGCGATGTTCTCAAGGCCCAAAAATAATCCATATTCTAATATTTACAATCCGGGATAGAGAGATCATCCGAATTTCTCGTAGAGGCAACAAGCCCCACAAAATTCGCAATTTCAAAATCAAGGGCATCAAAATTAGCCCTCTTCTCAATTTCAAAATAGGCCATTTCAGGCCTCGTCAAGCTACTGTCCTCAGTATAATCCAAACGTCTCTAATCAACCTCCTGCGTTCCCAACTGATGAGATTTTGGCTGCAAATAAGCAAATGATGGAATCTCTAAACAAGCAAATGATGGAATCCAACAAGCAACTCTTGTCATCTTTGCAGCCCACTCTCCCACACTCAGTCTATTGCTAAGCTTGAGAATCAAGTGGGGCAAATAGCGACTTCAATGAACTAACTCCTTTAAAGAGATAAAGGGAAGCTTCTCGCTCAACCATTTGAGAATCCTAGAGGGATTCATGTGATTGACGAAACCCCTCCTCCGAGTGGGCCTATTCATGAACAAGTCCAAGCAATCACCACCCTAAGGAGTGGTCGAGTTGTGGATAACAAGGTTAATGGAGAGAAAGATGGAACAACCCTTCCTTCTAAAAATCCAAATCCTCTCTCTTCTATTCCAAAGTTCACTCCGGAAAATCCAAAGTCTAATGCTGAAAATTCCAAGTTTGTCAACCCAAATGTAGAGACTTCTTATGAACCTAAGGCTCCGTTTCCTCAACGTCTCTAAGAGTCGACACATTTTGGGAATAAGAATTGCAAAATTCAAGACATGTGGGAAGTTTTCAAGCAAGTAAAGATCAACTTGCCTCTTTTGGATGTTATAAAGCAAATCCCTCCCTATACAAAATTTCTTAAGGATTTGTGCACTCAAAAGTGCACTTTCAAAAATCATTTGCTAAAGAAGGTGAGATTAACTAAAAAAGTGAGTGCAATCATTCAACATAGTGCTCCTCCAAAGTATAAGGATCCTGGCGCCCCAACTATCTCATGTGTCATTGGCGATAGCAAGATAGAAAGGGCCATCCTTGACTTAGTAGCTAGTGTAAATTTGATTCCATATTCAGTTTACTTATAACTAGGTTTGGGGGATTTAAAGCCAACCTCCGTAGTCTTGCAGCTTGCCGATAGATCAGTCAAGCACCCACGGTGCATTCTTGAGGATGTCATTATCAAAGTGAACAAATTTTACTTCCCGATAGACTTTGTGGTTCTTGACATGGAACCGGTCTATAACCCAAAGAAGCATATTCCCGTGATCCTCGGTAAGCCATTTTTAGCTACGACTAACACTTCAATTAATTGCCGAACCGGGGTGATGGACATTGCCTTTGGCAATATGCAAGTCAAGCTCCACATCTTCTATGCAACTCAATATCCTAAGTTGGGAGAAAAGCCATTTTATGGTCCAAGAAGGCATTGTTCTAGGACATGTCATTTCTAAACGGGGAATTGAGGTTGACAAAGCCAAAGTTGAGTTAATCTCTAACCTCCCTCCTCTAAATTTTGTCCGTAAAATCCGTTCCTTTCTTGGCCATGCCAGCTTCTATCGTCGCTTCATCAATGATTTTAGCAAAATTTCTCGGCCCTTGTGTAATCTTCTTGCCAAGGATGTTCTATTCAATTTTGAT